CTGTCTGTCTGTCTGTCTGTACGTCTTTCTCTGTCTGTCTGTCTGTCTGTCTGTCTGTCTGTCTGTCTGTCTGTATGTAGAGCCCAGTTCTCCTCACGGAAGGCCCTGGGGCTGGATCGGGAGATGGAGCCTGTGGCACCTCCGCTGCCTGCGAGGACAAGGTCCGCCCTTCCGAAAACCTCTGGGCCTCCTCGAATCAGGGGCACCTGAAGCAGGAAAGGGAGCATGAAAGGTGTTTTCTGTGCAAAGCTGGAGTGTTGGGTTGACTTGGCAGGATGAGACCTTCAGCAATTCATCAGCTGTCGAGCGTGGCCTATAAAATCCATGTCTCTTCCTGTGAACCTGGCCCTGCTCCAACATCTCCACACCGAGCCCTCCCATCACCTGATTGCAGACCACCACCTGGGAAAGCGCGGCAGCTGCGTGTGGCAGCACTCCAGGCCCAGGGCAGCCCGCTGTTTCTTGAGGTTTTGGTTTGGATTTTGCGCTGCAGAAGTTGGAGCCCTCCTTTAGCATTGAAGGAGTTCAGGCTGCAGGGCTTCAGATATTGTGCTGTTTCGTCGTGTTCTCATGGCCGACATGGACATGGACCATCGCGGTCCATTCATCCGCAATTGCCATGCGGTAACGGTGCCCGTCGCAAGCTGTTCTCCTCATTCGGATGTGCGGCTGTGCTCACCGAGTTAGCACGCTGGAATAGGCTATGATCTGAGTGAAGTGTGAGGGTTCGGAGTATGAGCAAGTAGGTGTGTATGTTCTTCTTCGTGTGCCCTGGGTAGCTGCAGTTCGTGCTGGTGGCATGCACGCTTCTCCGATGGTCGCTGAGTGCTAGCACGCTACAGTAGGAATATGTAGGAATCATAAGCAGATGTTTTGGTAGCGGAGACAGTGATGTAGACGATGGAGGTGATGCTGTTGACTTGGCAGCAGCTGCAGCAGCAGGTGAACACGCAACAGGAGCAGCCCGGAGCTGATCGGAGCTGCAGCAGCGGCAGGAACAGCAGCACGTGCAGCCGGCACCACCACGAGAACCCTTGGCATTGACTGCAGCATGGTGACCTTTGCAGCATGCATGCGAGGCAGAAAGCGAGTTGTCAATGCGGCCGTCGCTGGACCAACTGCTTACTTCCGTTTGTGTCGGACCAGCAACTGTGATGGCATTGAAGAGGGCCCAGGAAAATTACGTGTTTCCGCCGAGGCTGTTAGGCTTGAGGCCAGGGTGGCAAGAGGCAGTTCGATTCAACTTGCGGAATGCGGAGTTGTTCCGGCAGTATGGACGAAGGCCATGCTTTCGACGATGCTTCTGCGGGACCGTGGTCCCTTGGAGCATGTTCAGGATACAGCTTAGTTTGGCAAGCACTGCTGGGTCAGTCAGATCATGACAGGTAGTACGACTTTGGACGACCGTGCCACTGTTTTTCTCTTGATTTTTGAACTTGATGATGCTCTCAGGCTCTCGTGACCATTCCTCCAACTAATGTCGTTGTACATATTGCCTTATCATTGCTTGATACTTGCACTACATTACACCTCTTACTATGGATCATTGTTACTGTCCTTATCCCATTGTTTGGTAAGACCTTAGCCTTAGCGTGCAAAGGGAGCGCAGTAGGCAGGAACGGCGGCTCAACAGTTCCCTTTATAGCACATGTTCGACCAAGGCCTGCCCGCCGTTCTATTTCGTTTCAGGAAGTGTTTCAAACTGTAGATCGTGCTCCCGGCACGGTGCACATGTTGTGACTCGTGTTCCCACCAGTCCTGGGCATGTCCACCTCCTGAAGCCGTGCAGCTGCCACACTGGCGTTCGTGTTTGGGGGTGCTCCTCGTTTTCCCATCTGGCCAAGCCATGCTCCCGTCACGGTGTTATGCTGCAAAAATCGTTCTGCCGCCTCACTGTCTGGTCAGCGTTTCAGTTTCGGCCTTTTCGGCTAACGGTTCAGGGTTTGATTTCAATGCAGGCTCCGTGCCTTCAGACGGCGAGAACCCGACATCCTAGCACCCTAAACCCTAAACCCTAAACCCAGCTAAGGAAAAGTTGGATCCTGTGGAGCAAGCCGCAACATCCGGATTTCCTAGAGCTGACGCGGGTTGTCTCGGGAGCTGCCCCAAGAAAACTAAACCAGAGCTGAGCTTTTTAATACTTTTTAACCGTACCTTAACCCACCAAAACCTACTTTTTTGTCGGGTCCCTATAAATCCCATATTAGGGTTTATAATAATAACCTACAAAAAAGTGGGTTTTGGTAGGTTAAGGTATGTCTTAAACCCCAAAAACCCGAAACCCCAAATTCCCCAGCTGATATACTGCAAGCCCGAAGACACTTCGTGAGGGGCGTAACCGCCGTTCCGGATTCTAGTAGTAAGGATTCTACTAGTAAAGTCTGTGTTAGGGTCCTTTATTTTCTGGAAACCCCTGGGCTGTCTGAACTGCAGTTTTTGAAGCTTGAAGAAACGTGGGAGCACACATTTGGAACACTTCCGCGAATTATGTTGGTCGCAGTGATACAAGATCAGCGTTTCAGCCGTGCCTACACTTTCTGTACGGGATGTTGGGGCGGTTCAACCATGGGAGAGGGATTCGGCATGCAATGTCCGTGGAGTTGAATTGCAAGCTATCTGCGAAATTGCGATGGCGCAAACCGAGTCTCACATACGAGCTGCAACGATTCTTTGGAAAGGGTTTCGCTGGCTAAGCCCTGCACTGACCTGAACAAGCGAGTCCTTCTGGGTGTTCTGGAACCTTGCAGCCGTGTAAGGGTTACAGTCAAGCTTGCCTATGCATTTACGCAGTTTTGGTTCTTTGCAGTGACCATGCAACGTAACCTGCCCTGCGGGTCTTTGGATCTGATGATGCAGGAGGAGAATGCCCAACCACCCCAAACCCTCAAGTCACAGCCTAGACGGGATCCTTCCAAGAGCAGTTCGCTCCGAATCGCCGACATTGGCCCTGGGCAAAGCCCAAGGCAGACCACAAGGCCAGAAAGCCCTGGCCCACGCACGAAGGCTACTGCTCGGGAAGCTGCAGTCTCCCAGGTTCAGGCCGCAAGACCTTTGTTTCTTCTCTCTCTTGCCCGCCCTCTGCCTCTCACTCCTGCCCTGCCTGTGATTTGAGTTAAGCAGATACAGTCGACCAGGCAACACACATTAATGTACCACGACACGGATGCGCTATACAGTTGCATACATATGTATGTGTATACATATATATATATATTTATTTATTCTCTGTTTATATATATATATATATGTATAACGTATGCATGTTACAGATGCATATTTACACATAGCTCAGCATCTCTCTCTCTCTCTCTCTCTGTCTGTCTAGCTTTCTAGCTATCGATCTATTTATCTATCTACCTGACCTGTCTGTCTGTATGTCTGTCTGCCTGCCTGCCTGTCTGTCTGTCTGTCCGGCCGTCCGGCCGTCCGTCGGTCCGTCCGTCCGTCGGTCTGTCTGTCCGTCTGTATGTATGTATGTATGTACGTATAGGGTTTAGGGTTTAGGGCTTAGGCTGAATATGCACGTGGTTTGCACCATCATATTCGTCATCATCATAATCATCATAATCATCATCGCTATTGGTCCTGTTATTCTCACTATCACGTTTTGCCATTGCGACTATTTTTTATCAGTATTTGCACTCTAACTATTATGGTTTGGGTCATGGCTGGCTCCTGAGATTTTCGTTAGTATTGTGGTAGAGGGTGTCCACAGAATTGTCTTCCCAGCTTGCAGTGACCATACCGCAGGTTGTTGTAGCCGACAGATGTTTATCCAAATCTCGAGTCCAGCAAAGTCCCTCCAGAAAGGGACTTCGTCTGCGATTCGTACCTTGTAGTGTAGGTTAAAGTTTATTGTAGACAGATTGCACCACCTGTGTGCAAAAGCCTTGCCTTCTGCCGAAGGCAGTGTGCAAGGTTTTGCATCAAATTCGGAGTTCGCCCCTCCGGCACCATAAGGACGATCAAATCCAAGCAGAGGTTCAATGCTTAGAGGCTCGAGTAGGGGACGAGTTCTCTGCAGCAGATTTCCCTCTTGCTTTCATACTTTGTTCTAGTTTGTGATTACAACTGCCTGCATCACAAGTTTCTGGGCCCAATGAGGGACAGGCTTGTTAGCCAGCTAGAGCCAGGGCTCCAAACTCCTGATATATCCTGAACATTCACCAACATTCTTCCTTAGGGCTCCTTATGCTAAATCTACGTACTACAATGTAATGTAATATCCCCCAGAACCCTCCTCCAACTAGTAAGACCCCTAGGTAACCTTGACTTCCAAAACTCCTCAATCCATGATGTCATCGTAAGCCTCCGCGCGCGGTCGAGGCCCCGACGGCCGCGTTCCCTGGCCCGCCGCCTCCGCGCGATGCGCGACCGTGGAAACTGGGAGGAGGCCCAGGAGTATAGAAAAACTCCACTATACTATAATATACTGCAAATTATATACGTGCTTTCATGAAGGCCGATAAGGCCGTCATGAAATTACAGAATTACCGGCGCACTGGCTGCTGAGCGGAGTGATTGTCAGGCTATGTATGTGCGCATGTACGCCATACACATGTACCATGTTGGGTCATCGTCGTGGTGTCCAAGAAACTTATCATGTGTTCTCCATCACACCTTCCCTCCTCTCCCTTCCTCCCTTCCACCCTCCCTTTCTCGGGCTGGGCTGGTTTCCGTTGGGCTGGGTGGGCCACATTGGTTTTGGGATATGGGTATAGTACGCATTGTGGTGGGTGTCTTGCAAGATTGTGTACAGTATTTTGAGAAGGGTTGCTGTGGCGGCTTTGGAGTGTTGCAGTGCGCACACCACCCCTCCTCCTCCCCCCCGGATGTGTGGAGTCCGGGGTTTCTAGGAGATCAGGCTTCTGTTCTGCATAACTTCCCGAGGTGCTGCAACCCCACGTTGTCACAAGTGTTCGACCCTTGGGTCACAAGTATTCGCTGCGCCGTGATCCTCGGATCACAGGTGAAGGTGCTCCCAAAATGAAGAATCCTTCCACGAAGGGTTCTGTAAGGGTGCCTCCTTTTCGGAACTCCCACAGTAGGCTTCTGCTGCTCAGAGTCTCACAAGTCAGTGGAACTACTTATGTATATATATATATATATATTTATGTAGATTTTTGAAAGTGTCGGAATGGGCCTCATAGGTCGCTCCTTCAGGCTCTCATTCGGGGTGTTACGGCCTCAAGGCTTCAAGGGTTTAGGGCTTAGACCCACCCAAACCCTAATAGCCCTAAACCGCTGATGGATGGACACCGAGACCTCGTCTGGCAGAGTCCGAGTTGCGAGAGCGTAAGAGCCCTAAACCGAATCCAAATCCGACCTTGCAAGCTTCAACCCCTAAGCCCTAAACCCCTAAACCGTAAACCAAAAACTCTAAACCCTAAGCCCTAAACATCCCTAAACCCTAAACCCTAAACTCCAAACCCTAAACCCTAAACCAACAAACGACTCAGCCAGGCTCTCCGCATCTTCCGTGCTTCCGGCGACCTGGCCTTGGACCCGGCCGCGTGCGCCGAGGCACCATCGCGGGATATGGAAGTTTCCGAAAATTAGGGTTTAGGGTTTAGGGTTTAGGGGTACCTTATTTTGGGGTCCGTATAATAGGGATCCTACTATTTAGGGTACTATATTAGGGTCCCCTATTTTCGGAAACCCCCATATGTTTTCGGTACTCTGCAGGTGCGGATAATTAGTATACCTTTAGAGGCCTTAATAATTGGAATGGGGTTTGGGGTATATTGTGCTATATAAATATAGTAGGGATCCCCCAAAACCCTATTCTAATTATTAAGTCCCCTACTGTACCTTAGTAATGCTAGCCCCCTATAGTCTCCCCGAGCCCTAATGTTGTCAGGGCTGGGGGTTTGCAGCTTCTGAACGCTACCCAGCCGCCTTGGACCCTGCAATGCCGGAAGTGAGGCCGACGTTGAAGCCATGAAAAATTCTGCAAAGCCCCTAGAGAGCCTACACCCGAAACCCCGAAAGAAGGCAAGTCCGAGAGTGAGTGCTGAAACCCTGAAAGAACTGAGGCATTGGGAGCCATGGTCAGGACGGCTAGTGCAGCTGAGGCCATTCAGTCGGAAGCCTCTCAGGTCTTGCAGCTGTTTTTCTCAATGTTTAGGGCTTGTGGGGTTAGGGATTAGGGTTTGAAGCGTTTCTGGTTTACGGGAGATTCGGGTTCCCTGAACCCCCAAGTTGGCCCGAAGCCTAGATTTGTTTGCGGCATCCCTGCCCATGACGTCTTTGTGGCTGCGATAACCCTATAATAAGCCCTAAACCCTACACACTAAAAAAAATCAACAAAAACTTTACAAAAACCCTAAACTGCTGGACCCTTCAACAAAAAACAGGTACAGTTGTTGCATTTAGATGTTCTTAGAACATGTTCTGGCTATCGTCGCGAGGATTCTGCAAGCCGTGGTAGGCAGGCTCAACATGAGTACCCTTAAACCCTAAGCCCACGAGTGTAAGCGCCGAAACCCTAAACCAACTAAACCCCCTAAGCCCCTAAAGCCTAACCCTAAATCCCTATGAACTTGGTTCGTTGTAGTCGCCATCGTGCTAGTTTGTCTTTCCTTCTACTCCGAAGTTCTCTTCTTCCTACTAATAACGCTACACCGCGACCACGACCACTACTTCAGGGGTCCGGATGAAAAGTAATAGTCTCCCCTTTTTTATAGTTCCCGTATAACAGAAGTATACCAGAATTCGCACCAGGACCTATTTCCGAACTTGAGGATCCCGTATTCCTCCTCCTCCTCCTCCTAAACCCCAAACCCGAAACGCTTGTCCCAGTGTGAGTGTCAAAAAAACCCGAAACCCTAAACCCCAAAACCCCTAAACCCCTAAATCAAGCAAGAGGCCTCGCAGCTTCTTCACCAGATGCACAACCAGGTCCTGGAGCCAACGACCCAGACCCGTGCGGATGCACAGAGGGTTCGGAGACCCAACCAACCCAAGAAATGTGGAGTTTGGGGTGCTGCAGTCTCAGCTCAAAGAGGCTTAAAGTTTCGGGTCTTGAAAGGGTCTGAGCTGCAAGGGGGTGCCAGGATCTGGGGTTCAGGGTCTGGGGGCACTCCTATAAGACTCTTACCATACCGAGCTTTCTTGAAGTGCAGCAGGGCTCTCCTTTTTGGGAGGAGCTTACTGGTGACAGCTTCAAGTACCTTGTGTACGAATCATTTAGGTTCCTCCACTTCACCAGGAACCCAAAACCTAACAGGGCCTCGGGTCCCAGCCAGGAGGCAGCAACAAAAAAGCAGGGCCTCGGGGTCTGATGACATGATGACACGGACAAAGCCAACCCCTGAATCGAGGGGTAACTTGGTGCACGTCTCGGCCGGGGATCAGGCAATCTTCGATCGTGTCGGTTTGCAGTTGTGAGGTCTCCTGCGATCATGCACGCGGCTGTGCTGCGGAGCGAAAGAACTACCAACAAGTCATGCGCGCACTGTAGCATTAGCTCTTGCATGGTTTGCCAAAAGTTGTGGCGAATTGACAACTGATAATTGGAGGCATGCAGGGTAGTTGAATGCGCCTACGAAGGCCGGACCATGTGGCCGTGGGATCGGCTGTCGCTGCCTGCGTCGCTGGTGGTGAGTGGGAGCCGCGGTAAGCTCTGTCTCTCGCTATGCTGGATCGACACTCTTTGGATTCCACGGTCATGCAAGTGAGATTTCGGAAACTGCGGTTACTTCTCGCCATTATGATCCTAGCCGGTTTGTTCTTCACGTCAGCAAGATGAGGGAGGGATATTGAAGGATTGAAGAGCGAGTCAGCAACCCTCACGTTCCCGTTTCCTGCTTCGAAGGTTAAAGTTGATGAGAAAAGAAGCGAGATATGCAAAGAGGGTCATGGAAACTTCAACTCCCTGACGAGGAGGAGGCCGTCAAGCTCCTGTCGGAAGTGGAACTTTGGACGCTCGGCATTCGGAAGAACCTGTCCTTACATTTCTTCACACTCCTGTCGCAGTCTTTTTCGGCTCATGCTTTCGCCAGAACCAGTATTAAGGGTGGCTGTCGGGCGGGAACCCCCAAAACAGGAAATCTTGACCCTCCCTGCAGAAGGAAGCTTCCGGCAAAGTCTGTGGGATCTGTGGCCTACAACGCTGCCATCGGCGCCTGCGGCTATGCCCACTCCGCGGAGAGCACGGGGATTGCGAAGTGGAACAGTGGTGCATGTGGAGATACTCGCATCTGCAAAGTGGCTGCCCACATCTTGGCTTTCACATGGCCATGTCATACCCTATCCCAATTCGGCGGAATAGAGAGAGAGAGAGAGAGGCGTCGGACCATCTTACGTAGTCACTTCCCCACAATCAGTACGGTGCATGCGCAAGGGCTACAAACAGCTGTACTGTGAGCCAGCCTCCATGCAAAACGTTGAAGATTCACGAGAGCTGGCGGGACTGGCCTAAAGAGTATGCACCCAATTTCGAAAATTTGGCCTTCCAGTGGGTCACAACTTCTTGGTGGGCATGGAGCTCCCAAGCGCAATGTAATCTTGACAGCCCTGCAGGAGAGCGCTCTCCAGCTCATCGAGCGAATGGATCGACAGAAGGCCTCGAAAACTTCGCTTTCGGGACCTCCGTTCTGGGTGAATTACGCAAGGGCTCAGCTGTTGAGGTTTAGTTTAGTGTTAATTTAGTGTTAATTATTTGGGACTCTGGACCATCGGACAAGCAGAGGCGAAAACGAAGCAACAGCACTATTGTGCAAGGAAATGGAAATCTTCTTCGTGAAACGATGCTGACAGTGATCTTCTGAAATAAGATGCTGCTCGTCCGATCGTTTGGCAACTCAAGCCTCCAGGACAACTTGAAACCTCCAAAGCTGTTCTACTACTCGCAGCAAGATGTACCAAGCCCTTCCAACGCAAAAGCCGCCCACTCGTATCGCTTTGAGCACCAATGGCCATGAAGAAAGCTCGAGGTTCTGGTGCGACAGTGGTGTAGCTCGCAGGTACATCTGCAACTCGAAGACTCGAAGCTCCTAGAGCAATCGAACCGCCAAACCTGACAGCAAAGAGACCCAAGCTGAAACTCACCGAATTCGTTGGTACCACTCCTTGGTGGGACTTAAAGTTTGCGATTGCACTTTAGGCCTCCCCAAAACGCGACAGATCCCGCGCACGACCCGCACCTTCGGCGCCGCCATCGGTGCGTGCGGTCGCGGGCACGCGTGGCCGGCAGCTCTGAGCCACTGGCTGGCGGATTAGGATTGAAATAGGGTTTTGGTGTAAAAGTCTACATAACTATATTCGGCCCATTCGGCAGGTTCAAGGAAGACGGTTCACTTCTATAAGCATCCCGGGCCCCTGTGGGTGGTCACAATCTTCAGAACCCTCGCTCCATCAGCTTTTGGTTTGGAAAGGCCGCTCTGATTCAAGCTTTACAACAAAAAGAAACACAATAGCAAGTGTACAAGTTACAAGGATAGCAGTAGTGGATGTGGTGGTAGTAGTGTAGAAGGAGTCCAGGAGTAGCAATAATGCAATAGTACATCCTTCAGCCACCTGCCATGTAGACTCCATACCCATACGTTTGGATTTGCTCCCTTCTCTTCAACTGAGGACTGCTTGAAGAGATGCACCTTGCCTGCATTGACACACTCACAAAGCCAATGGCCTCGTACTTGCTCGATCCGATCCATCCATGTGACCGAGATCCACTTCAAATCCTCTGCTCAGTTTGTCGTTAGTTGCCACGGCGTCGAACACCGGCGCGTTTGATGACCATCCATGTTACAAGATCCAGCCCAGAAGCACCGCAGCGAGCCTTCCTGAGCATGCTGCTATGTCAACAGAGACTGGGTTCTAGTTCGTTTATTGACCTGTCCTCGCTCCTCAACCAAAGGTGCGACCGTCGGACAATCGCAGAAATCTCATGACTCATGCCCGTCTTGTTTCGGTATCTGGAGAGGCGAGACACTCGCTGGCCCGAAGTGGCAGGCCAAGGGCTTCTTGGAGGGTTCCACGTGTGTACAAGAAAAGAGCCAAGCATCCATCGCGTGCTTCAGAGACCTTGAGCCGCGGTTTATTTCAGCCGTCGCACAGTCAGGCGCGGATGCCGTTGCCCACGCCGGCACCATCTCCGCGTGTGCAAAGGCCGTTGCATGGCGCCAGGCGCTGCTGCTGATCAGGCACCGTACATGTCTGTCCATGGTGGGGGCTTGTATTTCACATGGCTCATGTTGGTGCCAGGGCCAGCTAGTATCAGCTAGTGATATGCAGCTCCCGTGCGTGATTGCTACCGGTATTGTTGCTTCGTCGTGAGGACTGCGGAGGAGTGGCTGCACGAGCCCATGTCTCCTGCTGCCTACACGGTTGCCATCGCAGCCTGCGATCGCGCTGGACTCTGGGAGCAGGTGCCGCGCTAAGCGATATCTTGCTAGAAGGTCGCTTTCAGCGTTGCTATGGTTTATGGGTTTGCTACACGGGTTGCCATGTGGATAAGTAGAAGGGCTACTATGAGGGTAACTGTACGGGTTGCTTTACTAGCACCTGGAGGTTTTTAAAGCATCCTCATAGTATCCTCGCTGCAGGCGTAGATAGAGAGCCTGCGCAGCATCAGCTCACCCATGGGGCAGATCACACTCCACCATCCGCACAGTCCCTGGGAAGTGGTCTCTGTAATTCAAAAGCGCAGGGAGAGATGAGCTCCTCGGCGTGACACAAACTTAAACAGTTCTCTAGAAACCCTAAACCCCTAAACCCTAAACCCTAAACCCCTAAACCCTAAACCCCTAAACCCTACACCCTAAACAGTTCTCTAGGCTTCGATCTATCGCTTGCCGTCCTGAAACCGATCTGGCACTGCAGGAGTCCGACAAAAACAAACCCTTGAACCCGCAAAACAACCTAAAGCTCCATGTGCCCCTAATCTCCTGAACTGAAAGATTGAGCCCTCAGAGCTTTAGTTACGGAACCGCTCAGCCTCCAAGGCTCTGGCGGTTTACGCGGTGCCTGGGCGGCAACATGTTCACACCAGAAAGGATTCCCATAAAGGGGACAGGTGGAGGGTTTGAAACGCCGTCGAAAGCAGACCCGCAAAGGGAGGGCCACTGTGGAGGTATACGGCCACAACGTCAGAAGGCACAATGCGAAACGGGACTTTGGGCTTCTGGTTGGTCCAACTGCTCTCGCAAAAAGAGGTATGAGAGAGGGACATGGTGGCCTGGGGTTCGGGGTTATAGGGCATAGATGTGACAAAAGATATGTTTTAACACTCTTCTTTGTTGCGGGAAGTTGCAGAGACATGCTGCAAGTGTGCCAAGGACATGAAGCAGCAGCAGGCGGCGCTTTGCTCGGCACATCGTATCATGCAGAATGATGCGGGGCTCATGCTTCGGGGCTCCTCAATTGATTTCTGTGCAGGTCTGCAGGGACATGGGAGCACACTCATGCGAGAGACTGGACCATGCCGTAAGTCAAACGAGCCTGAACCACGCCAGAAGAGAAATGCCCTACTGCTGATGTCCCAACACACTGCCAGTCTGACCCCCTGGCAGCTGCAGTTATGAAGTGCACTGGGATACCCATGTAGATGACCACGACAGTTCTTGATAATGCCATATTCTGAATGCTGTCATGTGGTACTGTAGACATTGCATTCAATCTGCAGTACTGCAACCGCATAGTATAATGCTATTACCATGCTATTCATCATATGGCCCTAAGTATCCCTAAGTGCTATATGGTTCTACAATTACAGTTTTCTTCTCCTTTGCGCCCCGATTTCCCAACCAAGGAGATCGGTGCGACAGCGCTGAACGCCGTTCTGAGCGCCTGCGGGCGTTCCAGCGAATGGCAGCAGGCCGTTAAAGCGGCGCGGCCCAGTTTAGGGTTGAGTTTTGGGTGTTGCGTCGACTAGCGGTGTAACTACTGACGGTTTAGGTTTTGCTGCTTCTGCGAGTTGCTCCATTTAACCGCTGGTGCGCATACATACGTACATGCCGGTTTGTTAGTGCTTTGCTGTCTGTCTATCCGTGTGTCAGTCCGTCTGTCTGTCTGTCTGTCTGACTCTGTCTGTCTGTCTGTCTGTCTGTCTGTCTGTCTGTCTGTCTGTCTGTCTGTCTGTATGTCTTTCTCTGTCTGTCTCTGTCTGTCTCTGTTTGTCTCTGTCTGTCTGTCTCTGTCCGTCTGTCTGTCTGTCTGTATGTATGTATGTATGTATGTATCTAAAGAAGTGTGTGTATGTATGTGAGAATGTATGTATGCATGCATGCATGTATGCATGTATGTACGCAGGTATGTGTG